GAGAGAGAGAGAGAGAGAGAGAGAGAGAGAGAGAGAGAGAGAGAGAGAGAGAGAGAGAGGCGGGGTAGAGAGGTTGAAGAGTCGGGTAAAACGAGCAAGCGGCGTGGGACGAAACGTGGGCAGCCAGAAGGGAGAGAAGAATCGTCGAGAACAATTGTCGAGAAGAATCGTCTCTCGATTACGCGATCGCTTTGCATCCGAATGCGAATCGCGTGATCGACGACGAATCCGCTAACGAAACGTACCAGCGCTTGCCGTCGGTTTCCTCTCTTACGATCGGATCATGGGCACGATCGCGATTCACCGTACGCGATACGCCGTTATCTTCGACACGCTATCGTTACACGCAACAGCGTATAGTAAGAATATAATGTCGTAGTTTATCCGTGGACAAGTAAACGCGAGCAAAGAGCGTTCCGCGTATGATCCTCCGTTTCGTATGGTTCACAGGTTGCGGAGAACTTTATACGAGAAGCAATAGAATCGTTGGCGGGCATAGTTCCAGTTTCGGCACTCACCCGTGGCAGGTAAGAGCGAGACGAGAAAACCGATACCTACATATTTCGACTCTTGTCGAGTTCGAGGTTTATCCTGTCGCGTCTTGTCGCGTCGTTTTGATATTTCAGGCGGCGATAATCAAGTCGGGGTTCCTAATGAAGAAATTGTCGTGCGGTGGCGCTTTACTGAACAACAGATGGGTGGTGACGGCAGCTCATTGCGTCGCAACGTCGGTATTTCCATACGTTTAATCGTCGACGAAACGAGCGCGCGCGACTCGCGACCGTTCGAATCGTTCGGGTTTCTATCTCTGTTGTTTCTTTTCCATCGTAGGACACCGAACAGCAACTTGAAGGTTCGCCTCGGCGAATGGGACGTGAGAGACGCGTCCGAACGATTGCTGCACGAAGAATTCAATATCGAGAGGAAAGAGGTAGGCCACGCGCGGCTATTTCGAACTCGCTGTTCGAATTCGAATCTCGTCCGATTGAGTTCCGATTGAAAATCACAGGTGCACCCGCAATACTCGCCGAGCGATTTTCGAAACGACGTGGCGTTGGTGAAACTGTCGCGGACGGTAGCGTTCAAACAGCACATCGTCCCCGTTTGTTTGCCGGCGAAAAATTTGAAACTCTCCGGACGCACCGCGACCGTCGCTGGCTGGGGTAGAACCAGACACGGGCAAACCTCCGTGCCGAACGTTCTTCAAGAAGTCGACGTGGAAGTACGTAGAGAAGCGAGCGCGCGGCGAATCCGGCGCTATCGGCCAAGTTCGATCGCCGTTTCCCCTTCGCGGCGCGAATCGTTGCACCATTTAATCGGCGCGATTCGATTCCGCAGGTAATTCCTAACGAAAGATGCCAAAGATGGTTCAGAGCAGCCGGAAGGCGGGAGACGATACACGACGTCTTTCTGTGCGCCGGTTACAAGGAAGGTGGACGAGATTCTTGCCAGGTACGACCCGCGCGATTTTGCGCACAACTTTCGAACTGCGCGGAGAAACGGAGTAAACGGCTTACCCCGTTCTCCTAGACGTATTTGTACAAATTCGTGTTGAAACAGGGCGATTCCGGCGGTCCGTTGACCATGTCCGTCGAGGGAAGACACGTACTGATCGGTCTCGTGTCCTGGGGTATCGGATGCGGTCGCGAACACTTGCCCGGCGTATACACGAATATTCAGAAGTTCGTACCATGGATCGACAAGGTGATGAGTTAGGAGGACGTCCACGACGCGCGGCACGGCATCGTCGTTGTGCCGCGAAAAACGTTGAGCACTCGCATCGAATTGTAAACGCGGCAACGGCACACAACGGCAACCAAAGTTTACGTTTACGTTATATCTATACACGTTACATTTAAGCTTCCCCCGAGCAATTATTATATAATTGCCCCCGAGAGCAATCGTTCGACCATTCGAAATTTCGAATCGGCGTCTCCTGTGTCTTTATGTCCTGTGTATGTCGTTATCCATTCGTCGATTTATTCCAATACGTACAAAAATACATGCGCGTACAGATACATTGAAATCGTAGATGGATGAAACATGTCCAAGCGTCCGTGTTGTCCACGGTGTACGACCGTGCGTGTACGTACCTACCGGATGCTGCATCGTTGCTCGGTCGGAGCGATGCTCGTTACGTTCGCGTAAACGGTAAGAGGAAAATGGTCGACGGAAAATTCTGTGGTGGAAAAAGGCTGTATCGATGCTTCCTACTCGAGAAAAACTGGTATCGCGAAAATTCCCTTGTACCGCTATACTTTTAGTTTCGTCGACGAATTTATGGTAAAAAGGAAACGAGACGCTTCGTTTGGATCGCCGCGCAGCACCACGGCACCGCACCGTCGCAGCAGATTTCTAGCAATTTCAAGTTAGATACCTACGTTATCGAAGAAGATTTCCTCGGTTATCGGCAACCGATGCGATCGCGAATCATCGATGGTTTTACGTCTTACGCGATCGTTGTCGTGTACAGTGTACGAAACACCCTGTGCAAACGATTCGCTGTAACGTAAACCGACGCTATAATTTATAGATTCGTCCTGTTTCGATCGATCGAAACAGGAACGATCGCGAGAACAGGATATAATTTAACGGAGAACGAACCGATGTCTCGAATATCGAGAGCATTCGTTGTTCACGGTATTTGGTATTCGGCATTCGATATTGGAAAAAAGAAGCAGATCGATCGGCACGAAGTTCCGACAAAGATGCGATACGTTTGACGGAACTTGTATCTATACAAGATAGACTGGAACGTTGGATTTTGTCAACGATTAAACAGATTATATCATTGTTCCAAATGCGAATACGTGCAATGCGTGACCAGACGAATTTAACGAATGCGACTGTACACGTATTTACAATGTACCAACTTGTATACTGTATATCGTATCGTATCGTGTCGTATCGTATCGTATCGTATCGTATCGTATCGTATCGTATCGTATCGTATCGTACCGTACCATGCGAATCGAACATTAACGTTTCCAAAGAATTTCAGCTCTGCAACGTTGTATCGATCCACGGAGCGGTTCTCTTTGTTGGTTTCGTAATTGGTGGAAACGTCTGTTTATAAAATCGATAGAACGGTGTAACGGTATTGCTATAGGCCATAGGGAACGAGATGCTAAAGATCGTTGATAACGGCCAACGATGATAGCCGAGAAGACAAGTTGGTTGCTCTGCGGCTACACGAATGGTTGAATGGTTGGACAAATGGGTGGGGTATTGGATAGGTATCCGGCAACTGTGACTGCGACTGCGACTTTGACTGTAACTGTGAGAGGCATAGCAGAATCCCACTCTTGCTCTCGGCGAAGGCTTGGCAGCATCCGAAGGGATATAGAGCAAGAAAGATGGTCGGTGCACGGACAAAAGAGAAGCTGCGGAAAACAAGGTGGAGGACGACGCGGTGCTGTATGTATTGCTGGCGGCGATGACGGTGACGGAGGCGGTGGTGGAGGTGGTACCGATGCTGGTCGTGGTGGTGGTGGTGGTGGTGGTGGTGGTGGTGGTGGAAGCGGTGGTAGTGGCGGCGGTGGTGATGGTGGTGGTGGTGGTGATGGTGGTGGAGGCGTGGGTGGTGGCAACGGAGAAAGAGGGCAAGCACGGGAAGGGAACAGGTGAAACGTTGAAACGGAGGCGCGCAGGGTAAGTTGCTAATTAGAGCCAGATTAAACGCTTGTCTGGGGAACCATTTTCGTTGCCGTTCCTCGCCGTTCTCCGAAGAGGATGAGTGCGAAGAGCCGGTCGTGCTCTCCGGTAGAGTGGGGGTTGAAAAAAGGCGAGCAGCCAAGGGTGGCTAAAGTTGCAACAGAGAGGGGATAACTCGACTCCGGTTGGAGGCAGGACCGAGCTTAATGAAAAGTGTTTGCCCCGTAAAAGTTAAGATTAATTGGCGCTCGGGGGGTGGTTACCGCGGTAATCAGCCGAAGCCAGTGGTTTTCAAACCTGACGTAGTTGCTAGAAACTGCCACCTTGCTCTTCGCGCTTCGTTTTCTCTATTTTCCCTTCCGATTATCTTTCGGGTAGAAGCAACGATCGGTTCTCGTTCCATTATTTTTTATTCGGTTCGCTCCGTCGAAGACGGGCGCCAACCGCGGAAAACGGCGGACGTAGAAAATTCCATCGATTCTCGGGGCATCGACCGTTGTTACGTTTCCACGTTTCCACGTTTCCATACAATTTTAAGATACTTTCCCATATTTTTATACAGACATTTACGTATACGCGCAAAGATACGGGGGGGGGGGCGTGCTCCGTTCGTGGAACGAGCATCGCGATATTCGATACCCGTGTCGTCGGGGTCGTGTACGAAAAATGAAATGCGAAAACCTAGAATTTAAATATATCTACGTGGACGCGTCTGCGCGGTCGATGCGTTTACGATATTCGTAAATTCGTATGGATCGTACAATGGTGCACCCACGATATATCCGATGGTATACGCGTACGATGGCGTAAGACGAGATACGGAACAGGACGATGTAGGATGGTACGCGTCGCGCGCGGACCGACTGCGGACGCGTTCCGAATTACCGGTTGATTACCTTCGTCGGAATTCTATCGCTTTCAATTTCGGTCGAGCGTTGCTGGAACGAGAAGTTAATTTCGCGACACCCAGTTTCATTAACAACGCTATTAAAAGTAATGGTCGATAAGGGCCAAACTCGGCGATACGGCCGCATAGGGGCCGGAAGATTTTAATTACAGAATCGACGCGGAACTCGGAGCGAAACGATAGGAGAGTCCGAAAGTGGCGAAAGACACGGTGTTGGCCGTAACGAGCAGCGGCAGCGCGCCGCCGCCGCCATTCGCGGCAGTCTCTCGTCGCACGGAAACGGAAAGGAAAGGAAAAGAAGACAGCGGACGAGGGGACGAGCAAACGCTCTGCGTAGAGCAGTAAACCGATGAAAATGCTATACACGGTCGAAAATGCTGTACGGACACACGCGCGCATAGTATATCTCTACCGTGTATATCTCCGAGCGTATATACGGTACAGAGAGGCAGGGATAACGCAGACCGTGGACTGTACAAGATCGACGATACTTTCAATATTTACATACGTATACGTATACGTATACTTACACGAGCCGATGCGCGCGTACAGCCGAACCAATCCGTGACACCAATTACGATTTATCTATAGGCAGCGATACCATAATCGAGACACCGATCGCGAACAGTCTTATCCCCAACAATAAGATAAGAGCGGATAAATTAACCATCAAATCGTTAATTACTTTCAAGTACGGATAACGAGACTTTAGACGGTGTACGTTGTAACTCCTTATCGGTGAAATTATAAATATCGACCGCGATTTGCCAATTAGAACGAGCAGTCGCGCAATTTACCAAATTGAACTTTGTAATCGAGGCGAGCGAATTCTACGAGCTCCTTTATCGCGGTTTCGTGCATGCTCGAAAAAGTTGCCGTAGAACGAGAACTTGGAGCATTCGCCTGTACCGGACCTGAAAAAAACGAACGACGTCCCCGGGTCTAGGTCTCGTCTACGCGAGGCTGGAAGGAAAATAAGCTTCGGTTATCGTGACGAAGCATAATCGTCGGTTGAAAGTCTTTTATGTTTACACGGCTGTCGAGGATGAAAAGGGGCTGTCCAAGAGCACGTATTAACTGCTATACCTACAATATCCGTCGCACAGGTATCCTCGATAACGAGAAATTCGTGCGCAGCGATGTATCGGACGCGCGCGTACAACGGTAGAAATTTCGATGAAAACATCGATACATTTTCGGTCCATCGAACGGAGAATCTTGAGATTCTGATCGCGATATCGTAGGACTACGATTGGCGTAGATGAAACGTGAAACGACAGAGAAACGCGTGGCGTGGCGCGGTGCGGCGCGGCGTCGCCGACGCATCGCTAATAAATAAATAGGTACGCGGTGTATCGGAACGATCGGGCGATGCAGAAATAGAACAATTGATCGAATTTCGCGCGGCTGGAGCGATTCGACGCGCGACGAAAGAGACGAAACGAGCGAGGGAAAGAGGCGCGTTAGAAGAGCAGTTTGAACATTTTCTTCCACGAATACGTTGGACGTGCTTCGATCCTTGAGTAAATAAGATGGCCTCCGTGTATTATTTGGTTAAAAAGCGGTGGCCAGCGAACTTGTACACCGTTTACCTTCGACTCGTCGTTCCCGTCGCACATTCTCGTAGCGCGTTCAACGATTCGACGGACGACGCGAGCCGTTCGAGAATGCGCGAGTTATTCGTGTAATTAGCGCGCGTCTCTTCCTACCATTCTTACGATTTTCGTAGAGACCGAACGATATTTGAACAGATTCGATACGCTCGACTAGACGCTTTAAAAAGCAAAGAGAGTTTATCGGTAGGATAAGCAAATGCGTGGTAGGACTGATACAGTACATGTATATCGTGCGCGACAACCGATAACAGACCGATTACTCGAAAACTGGGCGTGATGCCTATTACGCGGCTATTAGCTGCCCGATAAAACGGTAGATAGGTGCGCGTATGCAGGTACGCGTATCGTCGCCGTTTCGTAGCTTTTCCGTCGATGTGTACGCCGACGAATGCCGCGATTCGGAGCAAAATATCCGCGAGTACGTACGCGTAGGATCGTCGAAGCGATTCTATCCGAAATGGATCGGTTCGCGCGATATTCGATGAAACGGGAGCCCGTTGTTGCTTCTATCGCAGTTTATGAATCGAGAGCGGCGAAAGAATTAGGACCGCGGGTAGGAAACCGCGAAGGTATCGTCGTCGGCAGGCCAACATCGGTTATTCCGATTATTCGTGGACGGCGGCCAACTACCCTTGCATTAGCCGAACCGGGAAACGAAAGTTGGGTGCATTCCTCCACTCCTCGAGATTCTCCAGGAGTCACGTGGCCCCAACTGCATATCCGTTCTCCTTAGCGCGCGTTCCATACTCGTCGCAGGATTGGACGATTCTCGTCGTCGATGGGGGAAGCGACGCTGTCCCTGTTCAATCCTGGGCGACGTTTCCTGCTCGGCGAGTGGTTCCCGAGCTCGTCCTCGCCCTCGTTCTCGTCCTCGTACTCCAAAGTCGATGCTCCTTTTCCAACTGGTTTCTTCTCTCGCTCGACGATTCTTCCTTATCCGGCGAAACCCTTCTCCGATACCATCGACGAGCTCTTTCTTCGTCTCGGCGCCGGTAGTTTTCGCTCGGTAAGGGTAGCGTGCGAGGAACGTGCGAGGAACGTGCGCGAATACGAGCGCCTCTCCCTCGTTCCTATCCTAATTCGGTGCCGCGGAAATCGGTCGCGGCTGGACCTTCGAATTTCTCGATCGATCCACCGAACTCGAGGATCTCGTGGCTCTTCTCGCGTGCCTCGTGTCTCGTGTCTCGCGTCTCGTGACTCTTGGCTCGTGGCTCGTGGCTCGTGGCTCGTGGCTCGTGACTCTCTTGGCTCGTGACTCTCTTGACTCGTGGCTCGTGGCTCGTGGCTCGTGGCTCGACGTTCGAGGCTGGACAACTCGACGCTCGGGAATCCAGAATCGGGAATTGGGATTCGGGAATCGGGTCTCGGGACTCGAGAGAGTCGCGGGAGTCGCGGGCGTCGGGACTTGGAACGCGGAATGGGGAGATTTGGGATTCGGGATTCGGGATTCGGTGAACGGGGGAACAAAGGGGGTGCCGTAGGCGTGGCAGAATCGCTAGGTTCGCCGTGATAGGCGTGGCAGAATCGACTGACCGCGGAAACGTCGTAGCAGAGGGGAGCGGTTTTCCCGTTACGTACACGCGGTTCCTTGCGACGTCACTTTGCGGCGCGGCGTCGGGTTAATCGCTCGTATCGCCACGAAATCGAAACGTACGCTCGATTATCTGTCGCAGAAAAACATATTGCTCGCCGACCGAATAGATTTCGGTATCGGGTAAATTGTTCGACCGTCGCTCGTACCTGTGCGTCTCTCGTTCGAAAGCCTCGACTCTTCGTTCGGTCGGTTGTTCGATCGCGATCGGTCTAGTGATTGGACGGACGGTCGAACGGTCGAACGGACGCGTGGCCCGGGGGACGAGCAGTCGGGAAACGGGAATCGGGAAACGGGAATCGGGAATCGGGAATCGAGAATCGAAAATCGGAATTCGGGAATACGGACGAACGACGGGTGATCGGCCGATCGTTCGCGTCCCGTGGATCGATCGCGAGTCGATGGGCCAACGATTCGACTACAGCGATCGATCGTCGATCGCATCGTATCGTGCGTCGCTACCGGAGAACGTTTACCCATAGAGAATCGGGACGGTCGGCGGCCACCGAAACGGACTCGACTAAAAATCGAAGTGACGCGATCGACTGAAAGTTGTTTGGTGTCGTTTTCGAAAGGATAACGCGAGAATCGTAGAGAGAAGCGCAGCGAAAAATGCCCTAGCGATCGATTTACCGGGTTTTGGGTTGGCGACTGCGAGCTATGCATTACGACGCGCAAGGTACCTTGGAGAATTCTTATTTACGGCAGCAAGAGTACGGACAAGAGCAGGAGTTGGTGCAAGCGCAGGAACAAAAACCGGAAGAAGAACGAGAGCAAGAACCGGAACCAGACTCGGAATCGGAGTCGGAATTGGAATCGGAATCGGAATTGGGATCGGGATCGGGATCGGGATCGGAGTCGGAAGCCGAACTGGAACAGAAGCAAGAACGGATACGAGAACGGGAATTTTTTCAGCGACCGCGACAAGAAACTGGTCGGGATAGGGCTTGTGCGAAAGAGCAGAGTGTCGAAAAAAGTGTTCGCGAACGAAGCTTTTCGTCGTGGTCGTCGTGGTCGTCGTCGTTGTCGTTGTCAGGGGAGACGAGATCGGTCTGCGCGGTGGCAAAAACCGAGACGTTTGGAACGACAGCGGAAGAGAAGAAGGCACGTCCGGTATCGAACGGTTCTCCGTTGCAACGCGAAAGCGGATCGCGAATGTCGAAGTATCGCGAGGAACACGACTCGAAACGATCCTCCCTATCCGTTTCCGTCCCCATCCCTGCTCCCGTCCCTGTCTCGCAGCAAGAGCACGAATCGCCGAGCTTCTTTCAAAATCGAGAGGCTACCGTAGTCGGGTGTTTCGCCGAGGAGATGGTGTCCGCGGTGGCGAATCGTTACAGAGAATCGGAGAATTCGCCCGACAGAACGTCCCCGCAGGGATATCCGGTACATTCGACGGACCGGCGAAACGTTTCTCTGGGCAAGACGTCGTTTTGCATCGACGCGCTTCTCGGTCGAGCGACGGGAAAGCAGGAGAACGTTGATTACGATCGATCGGAACGAGATCGGAGATTTCTACCGTCTACGAGAAATCACGCCGCGGAGCCGAATCACCGTTTGGAGAACAACACTGTTCGCGTTCACGAACCAGAATCGTCTTGCGCCCTGGGAATTCTTGGGGGCACGGGAAGCGCCGGAACGACCGTTGGAGTTGTCGGTGGTACCGGTGGAAACGAAAATGGTAACGGCAATGGAAATGGAAACGGGAACGGGAACGGGAACGGGAACGGGAACGCGACCAATCTCGGTGAAACGGAAGAACCGAGGACATCGTCCCTGGGAACATTGTTGAGCCCGTTCGACAGATCCGTTCAACAGGGTTCGGTCTCGCCCAGCTTGGAACTCGTTCGCGAAGCGAACGAACGGCAGAACGTGCACGAGCAACTTTCCATGAGCAGACAGGTTCGCTTGTCCGGTATTCGCGTGGAATCCGTGGACGCGGCCGCGGCCGCCGCCGCCGCCGCCGCGACGGAAATGTCGATTCAACGCGGCAAAGCTTCCTTCAGGGGGGATCGCGTTGCGACGGGAAACGGAGGATTTCGAATCGATCGGCTGGAAAATGTCGAGGACGATGCTTCGATCGAGGTTGATCCGACGAGAACGGGAAGCGCCAGTTCCGGAAGCAACGCCAGTCACAGCCCCGTCTCGAGTCCTCCGATTTCTCCAGGATCGGAGGATCCGACCGGCAACGGTGTTCCCGGAAGCTCGAATTTGTCCACCGGGCATTACGGTGCGCTCGCCACCGGTACCGGACTGACTCGTCAGAATCAAGCTCTTCTCTTGCATCCGAGCGGGCCCCTTATACACCCTGGCGGACTGTATTATCACCCTGCGAGCGGAAGCGCGTTTCACTCTATCCACAAAGAAGGTCAACCTATCGGACATTCGCAGGCCACCGGACCGCATCCTCAACAGCATCACATCCATCCGCTTCAACTGGAGTGGTTGGCCAGAACCGGAATGCTGTATCCTAGATTACCAGCCGATTTAGCCGGTGAGTATACTTGTACAGCTGTCAGTATCGTGGAGCGTCGCATAGCCGCCGCGGCGCGTTCCGACGCTCGTCAAAGTCGAAATCTAAACGTTTCGGACGTACCTGTACGCGCGCGTATTTGGGTACGTTGCAACGTTGTTCCGTGTATCGAGTACCTCCTCGAAGGTAGCACGACGATTAGCCACAGGGATTGGAAGCCGGTGGAATTCTCTACCCGAAACTGCTCTCGTCTTAATTCGGCTTCGCCGATATCGTTTCGATCGATTTTATGTTTTTGTTTTTTTTCGTATTCCCGATTCCGTCGATTCGTCCGATTCGCGGACACGCGAGCGTAACGCAACGCAACGCAACGCAACGCAACGCAACGCAACGCAACGCAACGCAACGCAACGCAACGATCGGTTCGATCGAAGCAGTCTGCTCGCATAGATTCGTCGCGGCTGCTTCAACGTCTGCCATCTTTGGGTAAACACGATCCGTCGGTATTTTCGGATTTGTCCGTATTCCGGCGAGAAACAAAGAGAGAAACGACTACGCGAGAGTTCTCGATTACGTCGCGAGAACGGATAGCCGTTTGGAAGCCGGTTCGGAAGAGTCGGTTCGTACGACGGCGGAGTAACAAGGTGAAAATTCGATCGACAGATTGCTCGTACGATGGACAGATAGCGAATGTTTACATGCCTAATGTAACGCTTGGTCGCCCCATATTGACCGGCTACTCAAGTTTTTAGGCCGGTCGTCGGACGATAATATCGGAGGGAAATTTCGCGGCCTCGAACCCGTCGATCCCGTTCGACGTCTACGCGTACGCGTACGCGGCACGATGCGTAGGAAATTTCGTAATTTTCCCAATAAATGGCGAACGTTCCGAAGAAACGTGTGTCACATTAGATTCGGGATATTTGTATTTGTTACAGAGGAAAGAGTAGGCGACGCTTTTGTACGAATTAGGATCCGGTCGGAAAGATTTCTCGACCGCATTTCAAAGAAGAAGGTACGAACTCGACGATAGAGAAAACGTAATACGGGCAAAATACGCGATAAAATGGAACGGCGCGTCGGAGGAAGCATCGAGAGTACGACTCCGGCCAACGAATATTCGTAACCGCGATAGAAAAGAATGAGTTGGTTACCACGGTAAATTTCACGCTTGGAAAAAAGAGCCGTGGCCGCGTTGTCCAGCCAATCAGTCGAGAGCTTTTATCGAACAAATTGGTCGGTGAACGTAGCAGGCCAGGTTGCCGAGATGGAACGAATCCGAATAAAGGGAGATGGAGATACAAAGAGAGTGCGAGAGGGTGAGAAGAGAGGATGAGGTAGAGTATATGCGGCTGTGTACATATATGGCAGAGGGTGGATGCGGAAAGAGCGAAAGAGAGTCCAGAAACGGAGGGAAAGGGAGAAAGAGAGAGAACGAGAGAGCGGGAGAGCGGGATAGGGAGAAAGAGAGACGGAGAGAAAGAGCGGGAATGGGGAGGGGTGGGCGCGTGGGAGAGGGAGTGCGCGACGGCGAGGGAGTCGGTGCTCGGGACGAAGCGCGGGGTATTTTCTGTCAGATGATCCTGATTGGTAGTTGCCGAGCAATCCAACGTCGACGAAAAAGGCGAAAACCCGATAGCGTAAAACGAACAACGAGTACAAAAAAACGGTCTCGTGGAATAAAATAAAACGAATGCATCCAGCCCCACCTGAAGCGGCCGTTATCGCGTCGGCAGGGAACACGAACTCGACTTGTTAAAAAATTGCTGGATGGGAGTACCGTCCCGTTCAACCCTGGCTGCGCTCTGTTTCTCTATCCTTTGCCCAGATTCTCTCTCTCTCTCTCTCTCTCTCTCTCTCTCTCTCTCTCTATTTGCCTCTCTTTCTCTGTTAGTTTCGCATCCTCGTGCGCTCTCGACATTTATGTAAATAATGGTGAGTGCGCGACTCACCGGCCCCGCACCGGCTTCGCACCGGTCCCGCACCGGCCCCGCACCGGCTCCGCACCGTGAGCCGACAGGAGGTTGGGTAAAGGCAGGAGATGCGAGCTTTTATTTGCGGAATATTTGTCGCGCGTTATACTCGCGGCAACGTTGCGACAACACCATGTTTCATCTATTTCGCGTCGAGCTTTGAGGTATCGAAATTTAACTGGAACGATAGCACGGCCGCCGCGTATTTCGCGACCTTCCGCAGCCGATGGTATCTCCGTTTCGTTTACACTGAAAACTGCGTAAACCGCGCCCCGTATTCCGCTGTACAACTATGGGACGCCAATTTGCTTTCGGATTAATCGAAATCAACCGAAACGACCGCAACCGTTTCATTTTTTCGATCGGACCGCTTTCGAGTCCAAACTATCGTATTATACGCGCGAGTATCCGTTACGAAACCGCGAAAACGTCGATCCGCTGCTCGTCCTTTCTCTCCTTCGGCTTCCGCTTTTTTCCGAGTAGAATTTTCACAGGTGCTGGCTTCTCGTTTCATCGTCGCCGTTATTATTTAAAGCAACGTTCGGCCACGTTTTACGAAACGGAAAGGTGTAACAATGGCCGAAGATGTCGGCGAGACGGCAGCAGGAGATCTGCCAACAAAGGGGAACGATACCCGAGAGATGAAGCACGCGAAGGGTTGGCGGATGATTTAATTAGTTAATTGTGCGTCATTCATCCGTCTATTCATCCCCTACACCCTTCTCTCAACGATACCATAGTGTCGGTACCAGCGTTCCCGAGTTACCATGGAAACTCCACGGACTTAGGCGACGCTGCAGCGGCTAATTTCGCTCGTCTTTCGAACGATCCAAGAACGTAAATCGATCCGATCCCCGACGAGGCATCTGCGATCGGGACGACCGCGTGCAAATTGCGCGAAACATTTCGAACCTGTGGCGAACAGCTGCGGATTGCGAAAAACAATGGTAAATACGCGAATGAAAACTAATGGAAAAGGATGACCAGAAGGGTATCTGTAGCGACGACGATGACGATGACGATGACGATGGGCGATGGGCGATGGGCGATGGGCGATGGCGGCAACGGTGGCGGTAACGTTGGTGGTGGTGTCGGCGGCAGCGGTAGCGGTGATGGTGGCAGTGGCGGTGGCATCGGTCTACATACCTATCTATAGGCATATAGGCGGTAATGGTGTTTCTGAATTAGCTGCCAGCTAGTTTGGCCAGCCGCGAGCAAACAGATCTTGGTTACCCAATGTGTAACGTGTTCCACGTTCGCCCAAATGCGCCATCCTATATCTCTATGATCTGGTTTGTTGGCGACACGTAGGTATGGACGAGTGCGTTCGATGATACTTGGATGCAACCGCGCGCGTGCCCGCGTGCTCGCGTGCCCGCGAATTCTACGATGCGTATAGAATCGCGTTCGAACGCGATAATATTATCGCGACTGGTTCTCCCACTGGCAGGATGCGAGCGCGCGTTTACTATTTAATCGAATTGAAATCTGAAGGAATTTGCGACGCGTCGCGCGTCGGCAGCGGATCAGCGATTGTAACGGCCGAGCGGAAGACGGAACGGAGCAACGCGCGTCTCGATATCACGGCGAAGGGGAAACAAAGTAGGAAACTGTTTCGTTCGGTGGTTCCACGGCGAAACGGAACGGTAACGTTCCGGATGTTTATGGCGTGATTTGTGGTGAGTTCGCGAGGCGAGGTTGAAATTAAATCCAACCGTTTCGACAGGGAAAATAATACTCCGCGAAAAGTTGGCCAACTTTTTCCGCCTCGGGAGACGGTCTACCCTCGCTCCACCCTCTTCTCCTTCTTCCAATTCTCCTCCTCCAACCGTGTTTCCCGTAACCCTCGCGCCTCGGTACCATGGATCCGTGACCGTGCGATGCGGGAGAAGACGAGTCGACGACGAGCGTCTCGAAATCGTAAATGCGGAGCCTAGAGTGCGGAGGTACGGTGGTCCATACTCTCGCAACGTTATCCTTGCTCTTTCCTCTTCGATGCGCGCCGCTCTCGGTTCTTCGGTCCTTCGTCTTTCGTCTCTTTGTCTTTGGTCTTTGATCGTTGTTCGGTGTTCGGTGTTCCTTGTTCGCTATTCGCTGTTCGCAACTTCCTTCGCCTTCTATACGCGAGGGGTTGAGAATTCGGAGGCGGGCCGTATCGAGGACTCGGGGCTACAGGCGGAGCTTCCGTCGCTATGCGAAACAAGGAGAGGGAGAACGATCTCGGGAGAGAATGTGCGCGCGCGCGCGCTCTTACCCGTTCCCGCGCCCGCGTCTGCTCGCACCCATCGATGAAGCTCGAGGACGCGAACAAGAATAGTAAACTAGAAAATTTCGACGCGGAAGACGATCGAAGCGGGGTCTGGGCTACCGAGCGAAACTCGGATCGCAAAACCAAATCCGAAATCTAGAGTGGAAACGTTATCGAACGAGACGCCTAGCTAAATAGGTAACCGATTGGATCGGCTCGCGGGGAGATTTCGAATAGGTTTATATTCTTGATTCGTTGACCTCCGGATCTTTGATACGCGTGGTCGAATGGCAGGATCTAGCCTCTGCGTCGAGACCCGGAGTTCTCCTCAACGATAGGTAGTCGATCGGAAAAATCTACTTGCAAAAAGAAGGGGAAGGTAGGAAGGAAGGAAGGAAGGAAGGAAGGAAGGAAGGAAGGAAGGAAGGAAGGAAGGAAGGAAGGAAGGAAGGAAGGAAGGAAGGAAGGAGAATTGCGAATTAAGGATGGAGAATGGAAACTCGCGTTAAGTACGTAGATAATAGCCGATGTTTACCGGCGCGGTGATCGTTATGATTTAAGGGTGAGCTGGCGTGAAGCGGCTAATAGGACCCCAAATAAATTAAATTATCATGATAAAAGTGTGGTGGGTCGACGAATGACGTTAACCTTAACGGCACCCCACAGCTTTTCCCCACAGCTTTACCCCACATGGAGAAGTACGAAAATGGTAATTGTCCACTCGATGGTGCGCCGCCACCCCTCTTGTTTACCGACATCTGTCATAACTTGCTCGCTCTCGTCGGTGCCGAAACTATCGCCTATTATACGAGTTTCGGCTCGATCGAAGCCAATCGGCAAAAGTTGGTGCGAAGCAACTTAATCGTCGGAAGCGCGAAGACAGCGCGAAACGCTACACCGATATCCGATGTCGAACATCCCTACTCGGCAATCTTTTATTCAAGATCCAGAGTCCGAGTCCGGATAATCGTAACGGAGTGGAAATCTCTACAAGGTGCGCGTCTCCGAGCGCGGGGAAACTCGGCGCCCGTCAAACTCGAAAACAGGATTCAACGATGGCGCTAAATCCTAGAGGGTTGTCCCGAGAAACACGGGCAATCGTCCGAATAGTAATTGTTACGAAACGGTAGGGTGGATCTTCCCGAACGGACCATATGTGCGCAGCGGGTCGCAAACTATCTCGTTTCGCATAGTACCTATGCGGAACTCTAAATAACGAGAACAGAGCTGTCTCAACCATTCGCGACGAGCAACGGGGCAACGAGAAACGATACTCGTACTTGGCTCGATTTCACCCAAAATCCTGCAGCGATGCGACGCGATACGTAAACCTGTAACGCCGTAACGCCGCATGCTTGGAACGCTACGCTAGGACGCGCGACGCTACGCGTATGGAACGCGATCGCGTGTTCGCGTTCGAGTCGAAAACGCCCAACTACGGCCTCGTATTGTTACGAGGATAACTACGCGAATAGTTACCGTAGAATAATCTGCTCGAGGAGGATCCATCGATCGGTTTTTCGACGGCGAAAAAACGCGTTCCGGGGCCGGGTGCGAAGCGTTTGGTTAAACGGCTGATTAGGAGCGACATAAGGGTGTCGCACCTTCGAGATTAATCCGAACGCACGCGGAACTAAACATTGCCATGTGTACAAACATTGACAGCCGGTCACACACTTGCTAGGTATAGTTTAGTTGGAGGAGGGTGAACGCGTCCGCTTCGAAAGCAACGGTAATAATAGCAACGAAAAACACGATAAATCTTTCGGTGCTCTCGATTGGCGCATATTTGCCCGCGCGAGCGAATCGGATCGGACCGGATCTCCGCTTCGATCGTAGAACGAAGATTTCGTTCGATTTCGATCGGGTACGGCGAGCCGCGAATGCTCGCTCGACTTGTCCGCCCGGAGGATCCGAGAAAACGATTCGACGCTAATTCGAAACTGAAAAATCCAAAGTCTACGCCTACGCGCGTACCTATGCGTACGCGAGCATGGTGGCAACGATAAAAGTACGTCGATGTATCGCATTACGGCAGGGCTCTGAAACTTCGCCTCGATTTGCGCTCGTAAAATCATAAGGGGGAGATCGTCGAATGCGACCAAGAGTCGTTCGGAGGACTAATCGTTAGGGCGGCTACCCTTGCCTCGCCTTTTACCCCCAACCGTTTCCGACCCCAAATCATACCATCGCTATCCATGGGGATTTACACTTGCGATAATTGCATTAGCATTCGATGATTTTTATTGGTTTCGCGATCGGTATTCGTACCGATCGAAATAATTGTACAACTTTTGACAAATATTTCATAACACGAATAACTGTTTCGCTGTACTTTACCCTACTCTATTCCTACATTCCTGTATTCCTATATTTCCATGTTCCCGTATCGCTGTATCGCCTACCGTAATTGCATTCGTATATCTGTGTATCCGTAGCTATATATGTGATTACACGATGTGTCAACTATCCGTATGTCTGATTGAAGGTTGTGCAGCTCAACACGCTCTTCTCGGGAAAACTAGGAGACCAAGAACGGCGTTCACATCGCAACAGCTTCTCGAATTAGAGAAACAATTTAGGCAGAACAAATACCTCAGCAGACCGAAAAGGTTCGAAGTAGCCACCTCGCTGATGCTCACGGAAACACAGGTAAAATACAACTGCGAACGCGTACGCTTTGCAAGCTCGCTGGTGCGAACCGGTTGAAGATCTCGCGTCGCGTCGCGTCGCGTCGCGTCGCGAACGTTCGCGGGAAGCTACGGTTAGGTTATCCTCCTCGCGAACTTTACAATCTCGAAAAGCACGCGAAAAGGAACGGATATCGAGTCGAATACGGATAAAGACGAGAGTTTACCGAAGAAACGTCGCGTAATAATCTAGGATTCTTTCTCCCCTTGCCCAACTCGACCAGAAATGCGAGCCAGCGATTCTCTCGCGTACTCGAACAACTTAAACATAACTTCGAAGCTTACGCGTTCTGATGGATCGCTCGGCAAATAGCGACGAAAGTCTGAATTACGACAGGCTGAATCTCTGATTTGTTTCGATATTTAACCGATTCTGTTCTCGAGCTTGTACCTACCCTATCCTTCGGGATAGAATATCGGAACGTTGCGTTCTCTCGTTCTTCTTTGCGCGTACAATCTCGTAGCAACGCGCAGGGAAGATGCGAGGATCTCGGCGCGAACGCGTGCTATTCGAACAATTGGAAACGAACTCGTACACGGTCGTAATTCGTTGACGCAACGGTTGACAAATACTTCGAGTCGGCTGGGGCGGATCGCTTCGAAGTTTGCAGCCACCGTCGCGACGCGATCTCGTTGCTCTTCGAATCAGCCGTTCGCGCGAGCCACGACGATCGCTCCCAAAAGAATTCGCTCTTAACCGCTATTACGTAACACGCGTATTATTCTGTCATATAATCGAGATCGCCCAGACGCGACCAGTGAAAATTCACCCGGTTTCCTTCGTATCCACGATATACTCGTACAGCGCGAGGGAATTCAATATTCTAGATCTCGGTGGAAGCTTTTTGTATGCAAGCACGTTACACGCGGAGAAAGAAGGCACGTGTATTCCTTCCGAAGGGTGGAGATGTAATCGAGAGCGAGTCGGGTGCGAGGTGAAAACTATGTGGAAGCGAGGTGGAAACTAAATGGGAGCGAGCCGGGTCGGCTCGAGCATACGATATATCGTTCGAAAGATTTACATCGCTTTCTTGCTGCGTCGGTGAGGCAGGAGAAACGGAAAAGCACGCGCGCGCCCAGAGAGAGAGAGAGAGAGGAGAGAGAGAGAGAGAGAGAGATCGAAAGAGCGAAGAAGGGAAAAAGTTGACGAAGGGAATCAGGGAACGGGGGAAGGGCGAAGAAACATCGGATTTTTCTATGTAGCCACAGCGATTCGAGAAATCCTATGTTACCGGTCACGCGTCGCGCGAACCATCGTGGAATCGATCTATTCTCGTTTTCGCGGTCGAGATCTTCGAAACTCTCAAAGATTACGTTCGAGATAGTTCGAGATACTATATTCGGTAATATCCGTTCCACGCTGTCAGCTGCCGCGCATGTTTTTTCGCCGTTAGCCAATTTTTTAGCAGATACTCGTTGTTCTCGTTGTAATCGTTATCGGACGTTGAGCATGGACGGAAATCAACGTTGTCGTTACACGTTTAACCCGAACGACTGCGATAACATCGAAAGACGATTTGAACGCATGTTTGCTTAACTTCAGGTGAAAATTTGGTTTCAAAATCGACGAATGAAGTGGAAAAGAAGTAAAAAGGCGCAGCAAGAGGCACGCACGAATAGCAAAGTCGAAGANGAATCAGCCGTTCGCGCGAGCCACGACGATCGCTCCCAAAAGAATTCGCTCTTAACCGCTATTACGTAACACGCGTATTATTCTGTCATATAATCGAGATCGCCCAGACGCGACCAGTGAAAATTCACCCGGTTTCCTTCGTATCCACGATATACTCGTACAGCGCGAGGGAATTCAATATTCTAGATCTCGGTGGAAGCTTTTTGTATGCAAGCACGTTACACGCGGAGAAAGAAGGCACGTGTATTCCTTCCGAAGGGTGGAGATGTAATCGAGAGCGAGTCGGGTGCGAGGTGAAAACTATGTGGAAGCGAGGTGGAAACTAAATGGGAGCGAGCCGGGTCGGCTCGAGCATACGATATATCGTTCGAAAGATTTACATCGCTTTCTTGCTGCGTCGGTGAGGCAGGAGAAACGGAAAAGCACGCGCGCGCCCAGAGAGAGAGAGAGAGAGGAGAGAGAGAGAGAGAGAGAGATCGAAAGAGCGAAGAAGGGAAAAAGTTGACGAAGGGAATCAGGGAACGGGGGAAGGGCGAAGAAACATCGGATTTTTCTATGTAGCCACAGCGATTCGAGAAATCCTATGTTACCGGTCACGCGTCGCGCGAACCATCGTGGAATCGATCTATTCTCGTTTTCGCGGTCGAGATCTTCGAAACTCTCAAAGATTACGTTCGAGATAGTTCGAGATACTATATTCGGTAATATCCGTTCCACGCTGTCAGCTGCCGCGCATGTTTTTTCGCCGTTAGCCAATTTTTTAGCAGATACTCGTTGTTCTCGTTGTAATCGTTATCGGACGTTGAGCATGGACGGAAATCAACGTTGTCGTTACACGTTTAACCCGAACGACTGCGATAACATCGAAAGACGATTTGAACGCATGTTTGCTTAACTTCAGGTGAAAATTTGGTTTCAAAATCGACGAATGAAGTGGAAAAGAAGTAAAAAGGCGCAGCAAGAGGCACGCACGAATAGCAAAGTCGAAGACGGAGGAAATACGAGAAACGCCGAGAGGGAAGCCGGAGGTGATCCCAGCACAAACTCGCCGAGTTCGCAGGAAGATGCTAAAGGAACGTTACAAGAAACACAGAGAAGCACGACTGAACTTCAAGAACCGCTTTATCGGCCTTACGTGGTATAAAAGGGACGAGCGAAGTAAACGATGGAACGATCGGCCGGCATCGATTAGAAGTCGAAAACGAGCTTCGCCGATACCGCGACGCGTTCGACGCTCGATACGAGTTCGATACCTTGAACGAAACGGAACGGAAGCTCGCGCGATATCCGCCGCGAACGAAGGAATACGTATACATGTATGTTTAACGGGGGGTATTACAGACGCAACAACGATCGATTAGACTGAAAACAAAAGCGGATTTTCGATCCTACGAACGCGCGCACATTCGTTCGTTCCTGCGCGCATTAGCGCGTACATACATGCATACACGCATACACACACGCATACACACACGCATACATACATACATACATACATACATACATACATAGATCGTACATACATGCGTACGCGCATCCGTGCATAAATCCATGCATACGTGCATGCATACGTGCATACATACGTACATACATAGATACACACGTGCATACATAGTTACCTATTACGTAAACCGCACCGACTAATAATCCTGCGACATTCCTCTGTAAATATAGGGAACAAAGAACGTAATCGACAAGTGTACAATCGTATTTCGAAGGATACGAAACATTCTGAAATGTCGTCTGGTTGACCGTTACCGAGGACGAGTACGCGCATCTCGCGCGTTTCTACTCTGTATCGATACGAAAATTATATGTACGCGTACGTGCGAGAATGCTGTACATCTCCGACTACGGGACGAGTCGGAAAAGTGTATAAAAGCTAAGGAAACGTGTAAAACGTGTAAAACGTGCGAAAACGAAACGCGCAAAGCATGCGCGTCAAAGACTTTATCTTTACAATTGTAACTTTATTCCGAGGTTATCTTAGATCTATTTCGATCGAAAACACGTACCTATTTATGATAAATGATTTAATTGTAAATATTATTCGTGTACGACTACCGTAGAGAGTGCAATGCGAAAAAACGTTATACTGTGTCGCAACAAGTTCCTAAAATAAACGATGGATAACGGAGAAAACGTTGAACTTGATTTCTATCCCCAGGTTCCCCTATGCAAATATCATACGTAATACGTAGGTGTAAAGCGCGCGTTACGACCGTTTCGTCCACAGACTCCGAATCGGAGTCGAGTATAGTCGTCCGTCCCCGTCTTCTCCGAGAAAACTCGACCTAGAACTTGCTCGAAACGGACCATCGGCCGATCGTAATCCTCGGCACCCTCCCGCGCCCCCGCCCCGGCCGGTCCCTCGCCCTCGCCCTTGCGCCCTCTTTGCTACCGTGTACCCGCACGCAAACCGGATCATCAGTATTTATGATATGCTAATTCCCCGTTACAAATTCCGCGATGTTACGCGGATGACTGCTCCTACTGGCTGCAGCCAGTGAAAGCCACCCGTTTGGAAAACCAGTCGCCGGCGACGAAATGGGAAAGAGCAAAAGAAGAAGGAAAATTACGTTCGTCGCGAATATATACGGATCTCGGACGAAAAGTCTGTTGACGCGAATCTCGGTACGATCGATGTCTCTCGATCTCGATGCAGGATCGCGAGTACATTTTCCACGAAGAATTTCCTGTCGACTCGTAAAGCGATTCTCACCGTTGCTACAGTCGCTAACTTTCTATATCGCGTGAATCCCGATGATCCGGCGGACTCGATCGAACCTATCGGACGTCGCGATAAACGACGAGCATTCTGACCGGACCGAATCGCGCCGCGACGAGGTGGACGCTTGCTAGGTTGTTTAGCAGAGTTGACTAGAATCGGATGGCGCAAGCAAGGGTAGAGCATGCGGAGGAACGCGAAGGAACACGGAGGAACGTTGAGGCGGGGCACTCATGTTTATATGCATTGTATTGCTAAAACCCTTTTAACCGAATTACATTTAGCGATTCTAGTGCTGCTTTCCCGACTCTCCTCCCTCCAACCAGTCTACCGCTGGTTACCCCGTCACCGCCGTCGTCATCGCTATCGTCGTCTCGTCGTCGTCGTCGTCGTCGTCGTCGTCGCCGTCGTCGTCACCGCCATCGGCATCGCCATCGCCATCGCCACCGCCACCACCACCACCACCGTCGCCACCCACCACTACCCCCGGTACGCTATTCCATTCCCCTAACCCGAATGTTTCGTCCTTCTCGGTGAAAGGGCGCGTGCCTTTTGCCGCGACGGATACCGTTCTCGTGCTACGAATTCACGAACGAGAAAATGGCTGTAGTGGTGCGGAGTCGTGGCGGGGGTGGAAAACCGATGGGGCTGGATTCCAAGACTCCGAACGGCATCCCTGAATTCTTGATTCTCTTGGTAAACAAGTGCTTAGGTGATTCACTGCTTGTTCGCTCCTATCGGCCGTCGTTTGTTTCTAGACGCCGTTCTGCCGTTCTGCCATTCTATCTCGTTTTCCGGTCTAATAGATTTGCGAGGATAACGGAGACCGGATAGCGAAGGTTGCTCTCCACGACTCTTCCCCTGCTTTTACTTATCGTCCCTTCCTACGACGCGACTCCGTGCATCGTACGCTCGCGTACGGATAAAATGGCTTCGAAACAACGTTTTATCTTCTTTGAAACTTACGATATAAATGCGTACGTACGGAACGCGGTTGCCTCGAACCGGGTCGAAACGAGAGGAAAGATGTGGGACAAAATAATCCGAGAATAGTTGTTGGTGAAACGATGGGGAAGCCAAGAAACGGAAGCTCGTCGAAGATCCGACTTGTCTCGACCCACTGTGCATTTCACAGCGAATTCCATCATTAGCGCTAACAAGGTTGGCCCCGGGCTACGAGGGGGAGGGGGACTTCACCCTTCGTCGGGCTAACCTCTAGATATACACATGCGCGCGCAAACACGTACGCGATGAACACGAATGGAGTGTACCTATGCGAATATACACGTACACTGGCCGAGAGCTGACTCCTCCTTGAAACAAGTGGGGATAATAAGATCTACGACAATCAACTCCAAGGACGACGTTGCGAGAGTACAGCGATGCGACCTATTGGACGAGCTTTTAGGCGACGTCCGCCACGTTATGTCCACATTTCTCTTCACTGCTCATTTCATCTTACCTCAATGTACATGCCCATTCCATCTCACATTTCCTATCGCACAACCGATCGTATTTATCTCTTTGTCCGTTTGTCTATCCAGTCCAATCAGTCGTCTTCATCTATCGCATTCTTTTCTAACATACGATCCGGGATCTAACTAAAAAAGATGCTGTAAAAGTCAAACGAAGTGAAAGCACGCACGAGTGAAAGGAAGGTGGGCGTGTGTGTGTAAAAGAGAGAGGGAGAGAGAGAATACTAGAGAATATGCTGCAAAATAGAGATCAAATCATCTTTGTAGAGAACGAGTTTGAGCGTGTGTTTCACAAAGGGTACCGACTGAGAAGGGTAAATCGCATCGTAAGCAGCATTAAATTGCGTCCGAAGAAAAGAACAGAAAAATCTCCCGAGCAAGAATGTATTTAGATATATGTATGTATATATGCCGTAATTTGTCAAAAAACAATCGAACGGTATCTTTCGGAAGCGTCCCTTCCATAACGATAAAAAAGTTCGGCATATTTTACATGTAAAATTCCTCCAGGATTGCCAAGACTCTTGTGGAAAACTACATACCTAGTTTGTTCATTTACCGTTTGGGCTTACATTTAATATTTATGATCTCAAAGTATTCGAGAATCGTTTGCTATTTACATTACATAAAAGCTTCATACTTTGTAAAAGCGCAACGTTTCGTAGCGGCAAATCGCGCAAACTGGTAGAGAAAAGCCGAACAGTGGCGCCTGCCTACGGTAACACCATGACACTAAATGGATTTTGGTGTCTCGCGACGCTCGCAAAGATCGGGTATTAGGACGATTTAGAACGTACAGTGTATAAATAGCCGAATACTTTCGAAACCACGTTCGATCTCTATCGAGTTTTCGGTTAACGGAATACCGCAAATCCTCGGATAACATAGGTTGCATTATCCAAAGAGATCTACGTAATCTTCTTTGGAATTATCGACCGTATTCTCGCGGTGACAACGACAACCACCGCGCGCGGTCTCTGCTCGAAAAGAAACGATAGCGCTGGTAGCGAAAGATGTCGGAACCACGAGTTGGTGCTTGGTTTGCCTTAAATATACAAGTAATCTACCAAAAATACGTACCACCGAATTTGCACGTGTATCGGCAAAGATACAGATTTCTTAATTTTCTTATACGAACGCTGAATTTTTCGATATGTAAGAAAATCTGTCAACGGCAGCCATATTCGGACGTCGCGAATATTCGAAATTATTCCACGATAATGTAAAAACATATAATTTCATACCATGTACATGTACCTTGGAAAGGACCTTTAGGAAACGCGATTAACCACTCCCGTAGTGCTCGTTGCGATATTAAATCGTAAGCATTGCATGTTCGTATACGCGCGTATACATGTTTCTGCCGGATGAACACAGTATACGCGAATGAGTAACGCTGTACGCATTGCGATGCATTGGTTTCCTAGCTGTGCGTTCAACAGTTTATGCACAACCATCGCTAACGCCGTTCACCGGCAAACGTAAGAACTAATCTGTACCCCTTCCATCCTCTGGTCATCTTATCCACGTTTCTATCAATATTATGTGTACATACTTGCAGACATATTACGCTACCTAGTGCGTACTTACACCTTTAGGCACATGTGATTAATCGAACGTTTAGGAATGTATTTTGGACGTACGAGTTGTATACGATGACTCATTTTATGTCAATATTAAAAACAATTCAAAGAAAACGCATAAACTGACATGAACAACTCAGCGATCGCATCCGTACCGTACAAGATACGAACCTGCATTTTTCGTTGATTTTATATTAATCATTATCGTATACATAAATAGATTAATGAAAAGAAACTATGCGTTATTGTTCATTATTAGAGATTATGTAGTATACATAAGTATATTACGACACATTTATTCGGGCATAACATAAAGTTTCTTCTTATACGGTGCGAGCATCGAGGGGTTTATCGTTACCGACTACATATGCAACTACATAATAATACGTGGATACAAGTTTAAGTGGTTACGTTTATAAACGCAATCAACTATACGGAACTGAAGAAACAGGCCTACGTGATCACGATATACATATTGCACATCGTTGTTAAATGAAAGAAAAATTCTCTTTATTCGAAGGTATGCAAATTGCTCGGTGGTACTCAACATGAATCAAAATCATCGAGAAACGATAGATTTTTACTGCGAACATATAGTATCTAGGATCAATTTAAACACCTTATGGCCAAAATTATTGGAAAATAAAATTTTTAATAGAGACGATGTAAACGTACCACGTTGGAAGGTGAGAATGTTTCGTTGTAATATCGAATTTTAATTGACGCGTAAACGTAATTTTTGACAAATTTTTCTTTCGTTTCTTATCATTTTAGGAGAATCTTACGGACAAATCAACCGTACGAGAGATATACTTGACAATTAAAACAAGAGGGCCGTACGCGTTCAACCGTTTCGTCGCGAGTCTAAAACAAAGCGGACACGAGAGTTTGGCTGATATCTTGGAAGGAAGAAAATCTTCGTTTCCGGATAACGAAGGAAACGTTAACGAGGAAAACGTTATAAACAAAGGGGCTGTTGGTCAAAGAAATTTTCGATGTAATACAGAAAGGTAATACACAAAGTATCGTTCTGACCACTAAGTATTTTCCAATCGATAAATACTCACAAATATTGTCCGATTTCTTTGAAAAGGGTACCAGACAATTTTTTTTATGATATACAATTGTCAAACATTCCTTTACAAATTCAAGTACGGAAGGCTACAGAATTTTTGGACGGACCTGTCTATGAAAATGTTGAAAGATACCCGATGCGAAGTAAACCTCGTGGACTGGTTTTAATAATTACAAACATTCATTACAAGTATTCTCATAAAGAAGCTAGAAGTTCGGCAGCCCACGACGAAGAGAATATCAAACATCTTTTCGAAGAAATGGGCTTTCAAGTCGTTTCTCATTTTAATTTAACAAAAGAGGTAGATAATCGAGTATGTTTTATAAAGTTCTGAAAGAATCTCCAAATCACCGACTCCTAACCACCTGCATTCTTTCAAGCAATTTGTGGAAAAAGTCAGAGAGTTTTCCCAACAAAAACATTTAAGGAAAGTTGATTCTTGCTTCGTTATCATTAGTAGCCACGGTAACGTAAATTCCCAATACGAGGTCACCGAAATCGAATGTGTGGATAATAATCCTGAGAGCGATCTACAAAATGCCAAAACCGTTTTATGCAAGGATATTTTGGAATACTTTACCGCGGAGGCATGTCCTCGACTTGCCGGAAAACCAAAAGTCTTTATTTTTCAATTATGCAGGCAAGTATAGGCGTTCCCCCGCGAACGTCGTTCCTGTCGAAGAACAGATTTCGAAAAATATACATGTTGCATTTCAGAGGGGAGAAAATACAGAAATCCGTGAAAGAACCGCGGCACACAACAGATATTAGTAATTTTCATTCGATCGACGAAATGATCAGTCCTAAAGTGAATTGTAACGAGACGATAAGAAATTACGAGGATATAATAGTAGCCCAGGCTACTCTTCCGGGATACGTCGCCTTTCGAGATAAAATAACTGGCAGTTGGTTCATCCAAATTTTGTGCGAAGTATTTATGAATTATGCGTGGCAATCTCATCTTCAGGACTTATTCACTATGGTATATTACACACATTCGAACAATTTTTGCGAGTAACACGATGCAACAACGATCCTTCGAGAATTTATAAAACAGTTCAATTATACGGTATCAATTTACAGGTGGACGCGCGACTAAAAATACAGAGAACGACAAAGGAGGAGTGTCAGACTTTGACGGTAACATTAATAGGATTCAACAAACATTGCTTCCTAAACCCGGGCCTTTTCGAAGAAACATAGTTGAAAGCGTTCGTGATCGAGTAGCCGTTGAAACACATTTACAAATCGATTATTTTTCTATTCGCTTATCACGAAACATCGATAGAATCCGATAATCTAAAGATTCATCGATCGAGTTAGAATTACACCCCTTTTATATTTTTTTATTAGATTTTATAAAATGAATCGACAAATATATTTATAAATTCGTATACGCAATCTGCAGATAATTCTTATAAATCCGCATGCAAGAAATCGTTTGTTTTTGTTAAAAACCGATACGATATAGTCGTACATGTACGATGGATGCCGTCATGGGGAATAGATTAGTCTTTAACAGAATTAAGCAAAGCGTGCACGTTGCTGCTGAAGAAGTTGAAGAAAAATGTTGCTGTTGGTGAGTAGAAATACCGATAAGAATTCAATCGGAAAACCATCCAACATTTAGATGTATACGGATGTTATCGAATTATTTTTGGTACCACAACCACATAATCCTAATTGATGGGTGTTTGAAATTAAAAACATCTACAATTTTTCTCGTGAATCCTTATCATTTATGTTGTAATGATTTTACAGATGCAAATTACAAATTACATGCTTAACTATATTCCAATAAATCAGTTAGACGAAAGCATAACCTGTCCCTTTCGTGTCTATCAAAGCCCTTTTCATTTCTTTTTTTTTTTTTTTTTATGTAANATAATTTGTGTAATCTAACAGACAAATTTTTAATAGACGGGGTAAACGCAAAGATGAAGTTAGGGACCAAATCCTGTCTTATATGTTGAACATCGTACAATGAGGTAAAGAGTAATTCAACGCAGTTGAATTGACAC